TCTGATTGGCTTTGTGGTTTAGGCGGAACTCAGAGTGACATAAATAAACAGTTTAGGATACCTATTCACTGTACACTGGAACATCAGGGATCGATTTATTCCATGATTTATTCCAACAAACATCTGACCAAGGGCTAGACCTGCTCGGCTGGCTTATTTGGAAAACATAACGATATAGGGCAACTTTAACACTGACTTTAATCACCTGACAATAAAAACGGCCTCAAATGAGAGAACAGGTCGACAGCAACTAACAGAGGGCGCTTTCTCAATCGTAGCTTGTGTGCAAGGACAGAAATATATATTGTAGCGGCATCCAGACATAACTCAGAAAACGGAAAGAGACCAAAGGCCGACAATTCTACAGTTTCAGTAATTCATTGCACAAAATTAAAAAATATAGTTGGAGGGGGAAGCCAAATTGTCAAAAAGAACTTACATTCTCTAACCAAGCCAGAGCAGTGCTGAGTCAAAGTTGTTCACAGGTACTCCTTACAAATGGTTAAGAAAATGTAACAGATTATCTCACGACCAACGCCCAGTCTCAAATCCACGTTGGGCTGAAACTACCGCAAAGTTTTATAGGAAAGCAACGAGGGGTCCAACAAAAAGAAGATTGTAAGTTGTATAAATATAAAGAATTACTAATCCTGTGTGGTATCCCATTGTGTGACCACGGCCAGGGGTCCTTCTGGCCGAAGCCAGGCAATGGTACGCGAAACATTGAACTGAAAGCTACTAAGGCTGGTACAAAATAACTTTAATTGTTACAATATAGTGTATTTCCCTCCAACAATGCTCATTCTCTAAGGGGGCATATTATAATATATCCAGGGCCAAAACAATCTAGGAATGTCGCCCCACTCAACTAATGCTAAGTGGGTTCCCGGCCGGCAACACACCCTTACTTCCCCTGCACCGGTAACAGCCCTTCCAACCCCCAAGCCCAGCCGTGCCCAAGCGCGCAAGAGAGCGATACACGCTAAGACACCACGGTTATTGTAAGGACAACAATGCACCAGCGCCACAACCAAACATAAAGACAACAGGGGTCCGCTCAGCCTGCAAACGAGACATTTGCCAGGGACGCTGTCCCTCGCAACTAACGCTGCAAGAGTTACGGCAGATAGACCCTACTTCGACTGACCGCACGGTACGCCTAAGGGCCCCTCATAGGGTCCTAACGTCTTCATGCAACCCACCGCAACCCTTTCCACCCCCAAAATACAGGGAGTCATCGGGAAAAATATGGCAAGCCTGCTAGTGGTTATAAAATGCAATACATTGTAATGATAACGATGTGAATGACTTAGCGAGACTAGGGTGTCTAGTTGAAAGGCTGTACATGTGTATGCCTCAGGCCTACCTAAAGTTCGGCTTGGGAGTGCCCGGTGGCTTCGATGTGGTGAATGATGTGGTTGCCCCTAATTCATCACCACTTTCTTCTGATGAGGACGAGGAGGAAGTTTCATCCAAGGATATTCCGGCGCCACTATCAGCTAAAATTTCGTCTACGATGTCTGAAGCTGTGGCCATTTTGCCTCTTGCGGTTTTTGTAAGGACACGGCAAGCGCGTCTCCAAGCCGTCTCGTCCAATCAGAGTGCTTGAGACGATGTCAAACGGGAGAGAACGCTATTTACATTTTCGTTGCTGGCATTTTGGTCTGTCTGCCAAAGAGGAATGTTGGTAAGGAAGTGACTCTGAAATTGTGTGCCACAAAGGCTCGTTGGTAAAGAACCCGCATGCCATGAGCCCAGCTGGCACTTCTGGGGCTGAAAGGGTTATGGCAATGATAGCCAAACCAGTTCATTGTCTTTGTTATCATGGTGCCCGAGCTGCATTGGCAGTAACATTGACAGGTGCCATGACACCACCCCCTTTGCCATCGCGATCCCGTCGAACGGTTGAGTACCCCGGTAGGCAAGAAAGAAAATCGTTATTGACAGACACAGGTTTCCATGACACATACAATATCTACACGGTTGAGTGTAAGGTATGCTTGCAGGTCCTGTTGCTTGATGGCGACTTCCCAGAGGCGACTTCCCAACAGCGTTCTTCAAAGGGACCTGAACACTAGGGTGGACATCAGGGGAAAACAGTTGTGATACATATACATTGTTGAAACATAATCTATGCATCGCTCTATGTAAGATGTGTAAAGAGATTGCCTGGTTGTTGTTGTTTAATAATTCCATCTAAATAAGGTTTGTCAATTTAACTCAATTCAAGTACATGTATTGTATATGTGGAACCCTTTGCACAAAATTGACCAACATGTGGTTTGCCAGTAGGAAATTTCCCTAGCCAGTTGACCCAAACACCTTTACAAGTACTTGATAGATTCAATATCATAATTCAGTTGTGGTAGGTTTTCTCTCATATAGACACGTACAATGTTATACTACAATCACTTTGTCATTCACCACGTCAGTTACTGCAGCTTCGAAGTTGAAGCTGGCGCTGATTCTGACAGAGGTAGGTGGAGAGGGCCAGGAAAGGCCACTACATGAATGTCGTTCATTGCTTCCGATGGCGGGTCGCACGGTCTGATGAGTGTGCTGAACTCCTTCCCTTCCCCCAGAACTGTGGGGTACACATCTGCCCCACTCCTACGAACCCTTACAAAAATGTCCCATGCAGATCCCATGGGCAGCCCATGGGACCCCATGTGTAAGCCATGGGACTAGCAAAAAAATAATGTTGGTTGAAGTGATCACCATGGGACATTTTGTGGATACCATGGGAACACCATAAGGCTTTTATGATCAGCATGGGAACACCAGGGGGTTTTTATAATCAGCATGGGAACACCATGGGTTTTTTATGATCAGCATGGGAACACCATGGGGTTTTTATGATCAGCATGGAAATACCATGGGGTTTTTATGATCAGCATGGGAATACCATGGGGATTTTATGATCAGCAGGGAAACACCATGGGGCTTTTATGATCAGCATGGGAATACCATGGGGCTTTTATGATCAGCATGGGGACACCATGGGGTTTTATAATCAGCATGGGGGCACCATGGGGCTTTTATGATCAGCATGGGGACACCC